CGGTATAAAGTTGTACTGCATCTATCAATTTCATTCGATGATTTCACTCCAGATGCATCCAAGATTTCCAACTTGGCATCCAATAAATTGTCAATCCATTTGAATTGTACCAGATCAACAAGTGGTTTCCAGAGCTGTGCTGCTACAATTGATCTTACTGTGTCTCCCCCAAGTGGGTATTTTTAACCAAATAAACACACTGAGACCTGATAACCGTGTACAGTCTCTATGATCATAGCAAGAAGACTGCATCATCAAATGCAGTTTGGCGTGATTAGAAGAACCAGCTCATTGTTGACATGCGTGCAGTCAGTGCTTAATAACCAGCATGCACATTGCCAATCAATCTCAGTAAAATCATGTTTTGATTAAGTTTTTAGGCAATAATCTTGTCAGTCAGAGGTGTTTACAAAGTTTTCCTCATGGAAATTACATCAGCTATATATCACAGATTAATGCGAGATCCCCGCCGCCTTTTTTTATGGAAATTAGGCCTACTGCTTTGACTTTGATTTCTAAATTAACGAGGGAACACACCCACACTCGCCTCGTGTGTATGTTGAGCATCACTGTCTGCCTTACCGACAAATCAGCTTTTTGGCAACCTCTCTGAAAGTTTTGTTTCGCCAGCAATAGATGACTGTGTTGAGCCAGGAATTGCTGTAGCGCAGACTTTCAATTAAAATAAATATAAAGGGATGCACATTTCCCAATATTATGAATGTGGGTAGCCATGTGACACAGACAGTGCATGTGATGATCAGAAACGTTTTGAGAGATTTGACATTTGAGCGATGCAGCTGAACCTGTGCATCTTCAGCATTGATCTCAGCTGCTGCTATACGCCGTGCCTGATGCCTGGCAATCAAAAGCAATTTGACATACAGAACAATTACAATTAAAAGAGTTGACATTATCAGATACAAATCAAATGCTGCTACAACAATTGTCAACTGTTCAAAATGCTGAGCTAAGATTCTGCAGGTAAGTGCAACAATACTGAGTGCAGTTGCACATGTCAAGGCAATATAAGCTCGTCTTTTGGTGACTAGAGTTTCCAATTTGAGAGGTTGTGATATTGCAATGTAGCGGACCACAGTAATCATTGCCAGAATGCACAACCCCAGCAGCTGAAAAAATCCAACTACATGTATTAAGTATGTGGCTAGAAAATAAAAGGCATCATGAGACTAATAGAGAGAAGACCAAAGAAGCCCACTCCAACATCGGTAATCGTTAGGGCTACCACCAGCAGCTTAGTGACGTCATGCATGTCATGTATGCGGTGGAACACCAACAAAGAAAACAAGTTGCAGATGAGGCAAAATGTACTGATTACACAAAGAACACAGACGTATATAATAATACTCCTGGCGTCAAACTGCAAGATGTGGCAACAAGTATCGTCTTTGTCAACATCGCTTGTAGAATTTCCATACAGTCCTGACCCGTTTTCCATTTTAAGAGGCTGTGATATTCTGTCTGGTGGTAGAATTGGGCTTGCTGGGCAATTGACCAGCCTTAGGAAAGAAGGCTCTTGGTCCCAGATAAATGTAAGAACAAAGTGTAGAATTTTTTAAATTCTTGCACATGTGTCATTGAATTCCATCAAATCCTGACACAGTTGTAAGTGTTCACAGTGCACCAGTAAGCAGGGAGTCCTGGGTTCAAGTCTCACCAGAGCAACCTTGTGAAAATTTTACTCAAAACTCACAGACAGTGGCAGACCGTGAAGGAACTTAAGAAGGTTCCTAGCAAAAATGCCGGGTTAGTGTGGATCACCAGTTCTGACACTTGACTACTAAATTGAATCTGCATTCACTCAATGGCACGTATAGTTTCTCAATTCTGGTCCAACTTGTGTGATATTGGTGTATGCATCAACACGCACCGGTATATAATCAAGAGTTACGGTGCATTGATGAACTTTATCCGACGATTTCACTCCAGATTCACCAAAGGTTTCCACATTGCCATCCAATAAAGTGTCAGTCCATGTGAATTATACCAGATCATCACTTAGTTTCCAGAGCTATGCTGCTAGATGTTACTCAATTTCCCTGGTTTTCCTAGCAAAAAAGTTCATAGCAAAAATGCATGGTTTGGGTGGATCACCTTTTCTGATACTTGAATGTTCATTTACTTGATGCTGTACCGGTAGTTTCTCAATTCCTGGTGAACGATGCAATATTGGTGTGTACTGCAGGTATCGACACACGTGTACACATTGGCATACAATCAAGGGTTGTACTGCATCTATCAATTTTATCCGATGTTTTTTGGTTACAAGTCTTCTCTGTGCCGTACCAAGAAAACTGCATCATGCGTCGTCGCGTAACCAGAGGAATGAGCTCACTGTTCACATGTTGTTAGCTTTTTTACGAACAGCTAACTCATTCCATCTAAAGGGAAAAATATTCAGAAAAAAAGTCTTTTCAGTCAGTGCTATGCTCCTTATTGACACTGCTGCATCTTCAGATATATTAATGTTTTGACTAATAACCTTGTGAATAGAAAGCATTTGCAACTCTGTGCTGCCCATCAATTTGCTTCAAATGAACAGTGTCTTGTCATTGCTTGCCTTTGGGCCTTGAACACATCAATGCTCTGGTTTAAATTAAGGCATCCCTTGTTTATTCTTTGCTTCTCATTTCGACCATATTTTGGGCTCCTGACTCGGGGAAAACAAAGTTTATTACAGCTGAAAATGTCTGGAACCCCACTAATAAAGAAAAAAAGTTATGGAAAAAAAATTGACATCACATTCAGGCAATCAGGCTCTGTGTTATTTGAAAAGCTATGGAAAATTACATATTTGATTTTACTTGGAGCACGGCGTATAGAAACCAGTAGAATGCCAGAATTACCTTTCGTCACATCAGGGGTTTATAATTTACCTTTAACCCTAACCCACCTCACTCCTCCAAAATCCTCCTGGCGGTTTTGGAGGATTCTAGAGGATTGAGGATGAATGGTGATTGAATCAAATGAGGATTCTGGAGGATTGAGGATGAATGATGATTGAAGCACATGAGGATTTTGGAGGATTGAGGATGAATAGTGATTTGAAGCACAAGAGGATTTTGGAGGATTGAGGATGAATGCATTTTGAGGCAGGACTGTCTGAGGATTTTGAAGGATTTGGCGTTGGTTATCCTTCATTTAAACACGAGTGCAAAGTTTTGGGATGAGGAGGATTTTGGAGGATTGAGGATGAATGCATTTTGAGGCAGGACTGTCTGACAATTTTGAAAAATTTAGGCGGAGTTGCAAAATTTTGGAGGATTTTGGAGGATTGAGGATGGTTGTAAGCAACAAGGGCCTAGGGGGTTAGGGTTAATCTGCTATGTCATGGCTGCCAGTAAACTGTATGTCCCAAAAAGTGTCCATATGGCTTCTTTTAAAATTGCTACAAAACCATGTAGTTAATTTTGAAACTGTAAGACTGTGCAGATATTCCTTATCCTTGGCCTAAACCCCGATGAGTGTTTTTTTTAATCTCCCTTACTCCTCACTGCACAATGGTCAGTTGATTACAGCAACATTTTGGGGTGCTGAAACGAAGTTCCATCATCAATTTCAGTGCTGTGTTATGTCACAAATCCTATATGTTGTGAAAAAAAGAAAGCTGATGTGGTTTGGGATTTTAATCATTTAAGCATCATTACATTGTAAGCATCAAACGTAAAAGACCATAAAGATTTGAAAAAGACAGAAAATTCAGGGTGTTTTGGGGGGAGGTATAGCATTGAATACCTGCAACAGTAACTTCAGTAAATTCTTTATAGCCCCTTCACTTCGTTTTACATCAATGACTTTCCATTGAATGCTCTTTAAAGATGTAGTCCATCATTTGCAATGTGTGCATTTTGTTCGTTTGAAGCAACAAAAGTGCTCAAAATCTAATGAAGGATACTGAACAACTAACGTGATGGAGTTTCAGCTCAGCTTCAGCTGAATATTCGGAGAAAAACAGCATTCTAGGATCTCAATTTCAAGACAAAAGTTGCTTAATTATGTTTTGAATTGTTTTGAATCGCAGCTTTACGTGATGTCGCGCACTGATCCGACGAATTATAGCAATTTATATTTTCCTAAGGTGTTTCTTAAGATGCACTGATGGAAATGCCTTCTTTCGTCGATTTCTTCAAAATGAGAGCTTGCCAGAAAGATAGATTTCATAGGGAGTTTAGTCCCCTTATCTTTCAACTAGTATGTTTTTCAACAATATTTGCACCAGTCACTTTTTTGGATAGCTGCAAATGATGGACTCCGGCTTTAATTGGATAATGGGTCACCAGAAACTGATCATTACACCTCTGGTAATTTTCCGTAAATTTGTGTACATGCAGTAGGCTTTTTGTGGATAATCCTGTCGGCAACCTATCCAGGATATTTAATGAGATTGACTCCGTAGAGAAAATAGAAGTAAAACATTGTGATTAATGATGTCTTGTATTTAAACTTTGACAACTATTTACACCTTCACTTTGTGATTCCATGGTAGGCATTACATAAAGTTGTCACTTTAGTCTCACAGAAACTCCAAATCATGTGACATTTTGAAACCTACAATGACTGAATCTAAATCATGAAAATCCTATCCCTCAACTTCTCCTAGAAACTTGACTGGTTGCCCGGATACCGGGTAAATAACTGTTTACTGCAAACAACAAAGTAGTCCAATATTAGGTTTTGCCCTCCACCGACGTATAAACACTGTATACTCAGAGTTTTACCTCCAGAGTGAAAGTCGGAAAAAATCACTCGGCTGGGCTAGCACCCACAACCTCCTGATTTCTAGTGCAGATACCTTACCACTTTTTTTTCCAACTTTTGATCGGGAGGTTAAACACTGAGTATACTGTGCTTATATGTCGGTGAAGGGCAAAACCTAACATTGATTTACATCACCCCGACGGAAAAATTTCATCTTACATGTATGAATAGTTTAATGCGGTACCCGCTGCTATGAACATAGAGGCAACCGATCCCGTAAGCTTGGTGGTTGAGTGGTAAGATGTCTGCACTAGAAATCAGAAGTTCGTGGGTTCGAGTCCCACCCAGAAGAATTTTCAAAGCAATTTTTCATATTTTTCTTCTACTTGGCTTTCAAAAACCAGTATCACCGTCTGCCTTTCCCGACAAACAAGAAAGTAGTCCTCTGCTTGGGTTTCCAAAGAATTTGTTCAGCATCACTGTCTGCCTTTCCGACAAATGAGCTTTTTGGCAACCTCTCTGAAAGTTTTGTTTCGCCAGCAATAGATGACTGTGTTGAGCCAGGAATTGCTGTAACGCAGACTTTCAATAAAAATTGATATAAAGGGATGCACTTCTCCCCGTCGCATGAGCGTGGGTAGCCAAGTGGCACAGACAGTGCCTGTGATGATCAGAAATGTTTTGAGAGATTTGACATTTGAGCGATGCAGCTGAACCTGTGCATCTTCAGCATTGATCTCAGCTGCTGCAATACGCCGTGCCTGATGCCTGGCAATCAAAAGCAATTTTACATACAGAACAGTAACAGACAACAGAATTAATATTATCATATACAAATCAAATGCTAATAGAACAATTGCAATTGTCAACTGATTAAAATGCTGAGCTAAGAGTTTGCAAGCGATTTCAACAATACTGAGTACAGTTGTACATGTCAAGGCAATATAAGCTCGTCTTTTGGTGACTAGAGTTTCCAGTTTGAGAGGTTGTGATACTGCAATGTAGCGGACCACGGTAATCATTGCCAGAATGCACCACCCCAGCAGCTGAAAAAATAAAACTCCATCTGTTAAGTATGTGGCTAGAAAAATAGAAGGCATCATGAGACTTATATTAGAGAGAAGACCAAAGAAGCCCACTCCAACATCGGTAATCGTTAGGGCTACCACCAGCAGCTTAGTGACGTCATGCATGTCATGTATGCGGTGGAACACCAACAAAGAAAACAAGTTGAAGATGAGGCAAAATGTACTGATCACACAAAGAACACAGACGTATATTATACAACTCCTGGTATCGAACTGCGAGATGTGGAAACAAGTATCATCTTCATCAATATCGCTTGTAGAATTTCCATCCAGTCCTGACACGTTTTCCATTTTAAAAGGCTGAGATATTCTGTGTTGAGGTAGAACTGGGCTTGCCGGGCACTTGACCAAACTAAGGAAAGAAAGCTCTTGGTCCCAGATAAATGTAAGAACAAAGTGTAGAATTTGTTTCAAATTCTTGCACATGTGTCATTGAATTCCATCAAATCCTGACACAGTTTTAAGTGGTCACAGTTCACCAGTAAGAAGGTGGTCATGGGTTCAAGTCCCAACAGAGCAATCTTGGAATTGTTTTACTGAATCTTCTGGACAGTGGCGGACTTTGGAGGAACTTGGGAAGGTTCCTAGCAAAATAGCCGGGTTATGTTGGATCATCAGTTCTATAACACTTGACTGCTAATTGTTCCTGCATTCAGTTGATACATAGTTCCTCGATTCTGGTTGAACTGGTGAAATATTGGTGTATACTGCAGATATTTCAAGCTCGTACCGGTGTTATTTACATATGCTATGTATTGATAATCAAGAGTTACATGAATCGTGCATCTGTCAATTTCAGCTGATGAATTTCACTCCAGGTGCATCCCAGACTTCCAACCTGCCATCCAATAAAGTGTTAATCCATGTGAATTTTACCAGATCATCAAGTGGTTTCCAGAGCTGTGCTGTTAGAATTGCTCTTCCAGTGTCTCACCCAAGTGGGTATTTGACACCAAGTACAGATGCACACTGAGACCTGATAACCGTGTACAGTCTCTGTGATCATGACAAGAAGACTGCATCATCAAATGCAGTTTGGCGTGATTGGAGGAACGAGCTCTCTGTTGACACGCAGTCAGAGCATTAACAAGGAGCATGCACACACTGCCAGTCAATCTCAAATACATCATGTTTCGATTAAATGTACACTGATCTGTGTCAAAACCTCAGCCGCCCTTGAATACTCCCTCCAAAGTGTGACACAACGTCAAAGCGAAGCGAAATTTGACTTACAGCGTATAGGTACATTGATATGATAGCTTTTGATGCTGTTTCCAACTTGCGCTGATGAAGTGACTGCCTAACAGTGAGTGTGATTGCTTTGAATGCTGTCGGTAGTTGCGCGACAAGTTTGGCTGTAAATTTTCCTTTGCCAAATGCTCACAGTGGTACCAATATCCGCCCAGTATCGGCACTTAAGTGGATGCGGTCGGCAGTTGGCAAATGGTAACTCGCTCAAACAAGCCAGGTGAAAATAAATAATCTTTTATTAAAGTAGCAGTGACGGTGCGTGCCACTATGTTAATTGATACATTTTCAAATACAATGCTTTCTTTATTAAAAGCAGTGTGTATTCGTCCGTATGGGAATGGTGATTCATTGTGATTCAGACGCGATTCATTGCACTCGTCTCCGCGCTGTAACAAGAACACTGCATCCGAGGAAATTCATTGTTGACACGCAGTTGGCTTCTTAATGAGCAGCTCACTCGTTCCATCTCAAGGTAATAAGTTTCAGACAACAACGTTTTCAGTCAGCACTATGTTCCTTATTGACAGTTTGACATTTACTGCGTCGTCAGTTTTATTAATGTCTTGAACAGCAACCTTGGACAGAAACCATTTACAACTCTGTGCCGCCCGTCAATTAATCTATGTAATAGACCCTGGCTCTGGTGAAGCCGACCATTGTCTGTTATATGAAACAGATTCGGCAATTAAATATGCAACTAGACTGCGTAATGGCCGTGAGAAACTGACCAATCAGCAGGCGCCTTCTCTATGCGCGTAATGCATAAACATCACGCCCACGATGAGTAGCATTTTTGTACAGGTTGTATTACAAAAACGAGGCATCAAAATTGACAAATCACAATCTTAGTCCTGATTTGGGAATGAAATGACTTCACGCATGCTTAGATATAATTATACAGACTACCAATCAATTTGCTTCAAATGAACAGTGATGTGTCATTGCTTGACTATTTCTCACCAGCAACCTTGGGCCTCGTACAGTGAATTGCGCTTGTTCAAATAATCATAATTCAGCAATAGCTGGTATGTAATCAAACCTATCATTTGGCATGAGTGGCTAGTGCGTAAAGCGCTTGGACCATATGTGATTAGAGTTGTTCATTGATTCTCTCCTGTGCCACAAGGGTTTTTCTCTGGGCTGTTCCTCCCTCCACAAAAGTCAACACTTTCGATCTCTGGCTGTGCTCCGTGGTCAGAGATGGGTCGTATGGCGGCTGCCTAAGGTTCCTTTACATTCCTTTGGATTGGCCATGTTTGCCGCGTCCTTCGCAATTCAGCTTCTCATCTGCGAGTAAGGATGATTAGCCCCCAAATTGTAATTACATGTGTATTTGTATATTACGCAGGATTCAGCCACACTGAAGCCAGGCATGATTCAGCACCGCAATCTGGCCTGAAATTCGGTGGACGGGTACCCAATGCACATGTTTGTTTTTTTCCACTTGGGCGGAAAGAAGTGTATGTGCAGTGTTTATACATAAATATGCACGTGTTCATTCCTTCAAGCAACATGCTTTACCGTACTACTCTTAACTTCCCTGCTGTAGTTCTCCTTAGTCTAGCATCTGGAAAGTTGCAGGTTTTCATGGTCCCCCCACTTTTTTTTACTGATAACTCCATGTTAAGGCGTCGATAAATACCCTCATCAATATATGACAGTAACAGGCTTGTCACAGTCGTATTTGGGTTCCTCAGAGTTGATTCAGTATATGGTGACCATCACTGTCTGCCTTTCCGACAAATGAGCTTCAAAGCGGCCTTCCTGAAAGCTTCGTTCCTCCAGGAGTAGATGACTGTGTTGAGCCAGGAATTGCTGTAACGCAGACTCTCAAATGCGATGTAGACATATACATTGTTAGAATCTTCAGTCTGACTCAACAGGGTAACCGAGGGCAGCCAAGTGACACAGACAGTGCCTGTGATCAACAGAAACGTTTTGAGAGATTTGACATTTGAGCGATGCAGCTGAACCTGTGCATCTTCAGCATTGATCTCAGCTGCCGCTATACGCCGTGCCTGATGCCTGGCAATCAAAAGCAATTTCACGTACAGGACAATAACACTCACCAAAAAGAAAGCTATGAAAATAATGTAATAACTCTTGAGTAATTGGGTAAGGGATGGGATCTCCATGTAATCGTCGCACATTTCGCAAGTGTAAAGAACAAGGCAGAGTAAAGTTGCGAATGCCATGCCAATATAAGCTCGTCTTTTGGTTACTAGAGTTGGCAGTTGTAGAGGTTTGGAGACCGCAACGTACTGGACCAAGGTTATCATTGCCAGAATGCACAACCCCAGTAGCTGAAAAAATGCAGCCACGTTGCTTAGGCCAGCTTTACTGACATCGTGAATGAGAATCGCAGTAAGAAGACCGAAGAAGCCCACTCCAACATCGGTGATCGTTAGGGCTACCACCAGCAGCTTAGTGACGTCATGCATGTCATGTATGCGGTGCAACACCAGAAGAGAAAACAAGTTCAATATGAGGCAAGCAATTGAGATGAAGCCCACCACACAAGCATGCACTGTGTTATGTGTGGTTTTGTCGATGGTCTCGTATCCAGAGTCTGTAGATGCAAGAAAATCGTACTGCTCTGTTACATTTTCCATTTTGTGACGATTTTTATCTCCTCAGAAATGGTTGCGGTGATCAACCAAAGCAACCATAAAACTATTGGGGTCGACAATCTCCAAAGTCAAGAGTAGTCAATGGTACTTGTATTATCTTTGAGTAGATGACTAAAGTGACCATGCTTGATGTTTACCGTACACACGTATGATGAATTCAAGAAAGGCAGCAGAGTCGCACAACAGTCCATCTGAAATTGATTGCCAGATCCTTCACAAAAATTATTCTGCCGCAGTTCTCCCCCGAAGTCTTTGAAGCTGAACTTGGACCATCTCCAAAAAGCTCACTGCATCAGTTTGTTTTCTCTGAGGATATTGAACTGCTACATTTATGGCATCAATGTTGCAGCTTCGGAGCCGCACCTTTTATCATGATCACTTGAACCTTCATGTGTGTGTAGCAAGCCGGATGAGCACTCGCCAGGCGGAATCGCTTTCACTAAGGACCGGTTTGCAAGATGCTCTAGTGATCGACGAGCCAGTTTTGGCTGCGTCAAACACAGTTTTTTTCCTCTGCCAGTTAATTAAAGAATGAGAAAGATGGACTGTAGTCTGTATGACTTTGCTTCGTTTCGGCGAACGTGATGTATTGCTATCATAGTGTGTTGACTCACTAGACCCATTAGTCATTCTTTATTGCTTTTACTAGATAATTGTAGGCACAAAATGAAGTTGCTTTGCACTTCGCTAGGAATGATACTTGTATGCTAATAGAAGTAGCATAAGTAAACGTTCTTGGCGGATATAATCATTTGTTCCAATAAAATTTAATTTTGAGGACCTGAAACTTTCATAAATGTTAATATTTTAGAATTTTTTTTCAAATTGTCTGGGATTGATGTTACAAAAAGCAATACATTTTGAAAGAGTTAGACTGTTTTGGGGGAAAGTGACCCCCCATGGATTAAAAACATTGGTCCTTTCTCCATATACATGCAGTAAGCAGGCTTGCAATTTCCTTGAAATCGCTGATAAAAACCTTATTTTATAAGTAATAATAAAGTTCCAAAAAGCAAAAATATTTAAAATGTAGAAAGCCTCATGGCTATGTGCATTTTCAAAAAGCTTTTCATTTGATGAGCTTTCTGTTTAAAACGCTCTTATCTGGCAAAAATGCATTCTGATGGAGTTCTAATTTTATTGCATCGGTCCTTTAGGTGCAATTAAACTATTATGAAGGGCAAAACCTAATTTGATGCAATTAAACTATTATAAAGAATTCTTCATCTTGAATATTTTTCCTGTTTGTGATTTTTTTTAAGGTGGAGGTGTTGCCAGTGACTCTGCGGCAACAAAGATAGTGGAACTGTCCAAGAAGAATCGCGAACTGACGGCGGAGCTCGAGAGCGATAGGACGAAAGTCAAACAGCTCATGCGTAAAGTCAGAGACACAGAAAAAGAGGTAACAAAAATAACCAACAACTCGGGCTGGCAATATTTAACAATTGTTGACTGCTGTGATGTGGGATATGACGTTTTTCACACCCGAGGGGCGCATAGCACCCAAGGCAAACTGTTAAATCGTGCCAATGACTCAAAAAAGATAAACGGTTGTAACTTACTGTGTGAGAAATAAATTAAATCACTGGGATGTAGTCTTTGATAACTGAAGGTTTTGATGTCCTGCCGGACATGAGACCGAGTGTTTGACGTTGCAGTTCGCATTACGTGAAGCTATCGCGCTGTGAGGTTCCACATGCGCGCGCAATGAGTTCAGTGCGATATCACCATGGGCGTCGCCAGGATTTTTTCTAGAGGGGGCAAAAACAATTTTGGCCAAAAAATGCTTGTATTTCTCAACACATTCTTGATTTATCAGTTTTAGAGGGGGGCAGGGACATTTCCCCTCCCCCCCAACTCATTAAATTTACACCACTTTGTCTTCGCGCCTCTTTTTCTTTCTTTCTTTTTTCTTTTTTTTTCTTCCTTTTTTTTTTTTTGGTGGCTTTTCCAGGGGGGGGGGGGGCAAGTGCCCCCCCTTGCCCCCCCCCCCCCTCGCGACGCCCATGGATATCACCCTCAGTGTGTGACATGCATTTTTATTGTCCAGAAACGTGGCCGTCCTAGACCAATGAAATTACGGTATCCATCAGACGATAAAACAGATCAGTTTGTATATATCGATGGGTTAGGATATATAATGAATGACTGAATCACTTTACCACGGCATGATATTTAGATTGTAAACACTCCATCGTTACCCTGGTTATTGGACTAATGAAGCAGGCAGGGCATTATACAATGATTGATTAAAAAATGTTTCAAGATTTTGCAAATGGGCATCTTGTAGTTCATATCGGAGCACCGTTAAATCAGTGCTTATCTATAGTTTGTGAGAGGAAAAAAAAAGAGTTTGCTCAGGTGGGACTTGAACCATGGACCTCCTGTTTACTACTGCAGATGTTCTTACCATTTCAAATCTTATACAGCAGTGGGTACCGCAGTCAAAGTCTTTTTGACGGAATTTTAGGATTGGAAAGCCCAATATGAAACAATGGTAATAGGCGACTCCAGTGTTATGTAATGTCACTGACAGAGGTTTTAAGAGCTCAGTAAATAAACCTTACACATTCATCCAGGCGCGATATTTTGGGGGGCTAGCACGGTAGATCCATAATTTTTTCGGGGAGGCGTGCTGAAATGTTGACCGGTTATTTTTCCCAGACACTTAGGCCTCCGAAAATCAATAGGGGGGGGGGGGGGGGGGGGGGGGGGCATGCCATATTTTCAATGGGGAGCGCCAATAAAATCCTAAAATCATTCACACTATATTAACTAATGCACCCATGTCACGGCTATTTATTCTTTGGGGGAGACCGTTTGCATGTTCATCTCAATCCTTCTTTTTGCTAATGCAATTTTTTTTTTTACAGAATTTATTTTGGGGGGGCTAGACAAAAATTTGGGGGGGCTACAGCCCCCCTAGCCCCCCCGTAGAACCGCGCCTGCATTCATCATCTAGTAATATTCAAGGAGATTAGTTTTGGAGCATTTCCCTGAATTATTAATTAGATATCAAGGTTAATTGACTCTGTCACGAATATTACACTTCCTGTCACAATGCTTGAATTGCCCTGTTAGAGTTTGAATCAGTTGAATGATGTTGTGTGTCTGGACGTTGATTTCCCATAATGTAGTTGGCAGCGGCTTTACAGCAGTCACAGAATGGGGAGAGCCGAGGAAAGAGCAGCCACCAGAGATCTGCCCTCACCAAGGAACAGTCCCAGGACCAGGTAGAGTATTCACAGAGATCTATACGAAAGGCGTGTAGTAACATTTGAAATTACCCGGACCATTGAATTTGTGGTCTGCAGGTAATTCTGCAGGTTGTGGGTTCGAGTCCAGCCTGGGGTTATGGTGCGTGTGCCCTTGGGCAAGGCACTTTGTCACTCATTGCTTCTCCCCGCCCAGGAGCTAATGGGTACCTGTGAGGGCAGAGATGGTTATTGCGATTGATTTTAGCTGCTTTGCACAGAAATGGCAGCATCAAGCTGTATACTCCCCAGGGAGCTGAGATTGTCTTTGGAATGTTTTCATGGGCTCAATGAGCAGGGTAATAAAACGATATAGCAACTTGAGCACCAATAATGGTGGATACGTGCACTTTATAAATGCACATTATTATAAATACACATTGTTACCGATTTAATGAGAAAATCCTTGCTCAAAGTGAAGATAGGATTAGTACCAAATACCCTGTGAAATTATTCCGCCTGAAAATGGTATTAATTGGAAGAAAACAATCATTGAAGGTGGTTTAAGAAAGTGTGCCTGCAGACACAGGTTTTTGTTTTACATGTACGTGCGTTAGCAATAGAATTTAGTTTCGAGATCCCAAAAGCTGTGCATACCGGTACTTTTAGTCTGCTTTCTCAAAATGTATAATATCTACTGAGCTGAAACTTCAACAAGTTGGTTATGATTCACCTTGCTTAAGATTAAGAGCAATATTGTCACTTCAAACCAAAAAAATCCCCCAAAAAGCACAAAAAAGCAAATGATCCTTTATACCTTTAATGACTACAAACTACTTATTCTATGCATAAAATAGTTTGTAAAATTTGCAGAGCAGTGATTTCTGCCAAGCAGACGAACAAAGTAAGGCCATTTTTATCCAGGAGGTTTTGCAGAAAAATAGTAATAGGTCATCAGCCTGGGGGTTTGGCCGGTATCAAATGAGGGGAATAATGCTTATAAATTGGGAATTTTGGCAAGGTATGCACCCCTGTAGTTGGAAAATATGTGATAGCATTGCAGCGGTGACAGCTTTTTGGGTGCTATCACTTTTTTGAGAAAATGGCGGCCAAAACATGCTTGTTACCATATATAATTATTCCGGTAAGACCATGGCCCTTTTTGTTCTTTTGATACCAGTGGCCCAATTTTTGGACGGAAGCTGATCGCTTATAATTTCCTGAAGAAAATAATGCAACAAGGGTGGATATAATACTCAGTCAATATTTGATTGGATTTTGCAATCTTGTTTCGTGTTTGACAGATTTTTTTCATGCCGGATAACAAATCTCATAAATACATTTTTTCCATCATCAATTATTACCGCAAGTGAAAATCATGTGTTTCACACAGGCAGAGGCAATGGCGGCCGAGGTGAAGACCCTGCAGGACTCGCTAGCCAAGAGCCAAGCCAAGCAGACGGACTTTCGCAATCAGGTCAACATTCTCAAACAGGAACTCAAAGTGGCCCACAAGGTTCGGCAGATAGTACTGCTTTCCTCAGTTATCAGGAAAAGCATAGAAATGTTTAAATGTTTAAAGAGTGCCCGTTTTAATTAAATTAACCTAAAAGGGATGTCAGATAGTTTTTCATACGTTTAAGAGGAGTCGAAAGTTGTACCAAACGTGTTCCTAAGAAAATTTCACATAGACCCTTTAACTGTTTTGTTTTGTCGAAAGTCTTTAATCACTCACATTGGACTTGACATGATTTAAGGTCTCAACCGTGACACTTGTCAAAGGCTTTGTAAGGGATGCGTAATGGGCATCGAGGGCGTGAAGGAGTGTTTCTTGAGATTTGATGGGGTCTTTAAAGGGGTGTGCACATAGGTGTTGTCCAAATATGTCCACTCATTGAGTAAACCTCAAAAGGAAACTTTTCAAGATTTTCAAGGAACAATTCAAGATTGATCAATGCAAGTTTGAACATGCCAAATGGTTGCAAGCTCAAGTCTTGCTTTTCTGTGTGTTGAATTTGCAGGTTGAAATCCTGTACAGTCAATTTCTTTGTTTAAACTTTCAAGTCCAGTTCAAACTTTCACGTTGGACAGGATCGTCATTGTGAGTTTTTCCTTGCCTGACACAGGTTCTTGTAAGCGAGCTGGGAGACAACGTCAACATTCAGAGCATTAAGAACGACAGCAGCAGCTGGAGGGGCCGCGCCCAGCAAATACTACTGCTGCAAAACAAGGCAAGTTTACCATGCAGTGTTGCGGTCGAGTCCATCACAAGTCCATCACAAATCCATCACAAGTCCTCCAGTTTCAATTACAACAAAGGCATTTCTTTGTTATTGTTCACCCCCTGTTTCTTGTGACTGGACTTGTGAAAGGACTTTTGATTAACCAATGAAGGACTTGTGATGTTCTTGTGGTATCAAATCACTAAGGGACGTGTGTGAATTGTTTTTGTTTCAAATGCTGAAAGAACGCACACCTTTTTTGTGATCCGTGGACAGAACTTTAAAACGGTGGTTGCGTTTAAAATTCTGTAATTTGAAAAGTACATGAGTGCTTTGAATGATTCTTGTACTAAACGAAAGCTTATGAATTGGGCTTTAATATCCTAGATTTAGAAAGTGCTACATGCAGAACTTCACTGAAACAACAGTCCTGACATTTGGGTTTCGCTTTTTTTTTTATACTCACCCTGTATTTGTTACTGTCATTATGAGCAGGTTTCTGAGCTGAATCGGCAGTTGGATCAGTTCAAGAGTCGTCCGGGCACTCAAATGAGCCTAGAGGAACAGTTCATGACCATGGACGTCTCAGACGATCGTTCCTCCCTGACGTCTGCCCTCCCGAGGAGCTCCAAAGGAGGGGGAGGCGGGGGGACGATGGACGAACGGCAGAAGCTGCGTCTCCGGCAGCAGGAGAAGGGGAGAAGAGAAGAACAGGAGGTTAGGCCAAAAAAAAAAATAAGTCGGTCTCTGGTCAGCGCGCGCGTCGATTTTAATCATGCGCGTCAATCTTTTTTTTTTCCAAAATGTTCCGCGGTAGCTCCAACAGCGCCCTCTATTGCCGCACCTCCTCAATTTTTTTTTACCAAAGAGCACCAAGGAATGGGAAATTGCACCAAGGCAAATGATCGAGAGCACAAAGGCAAATTATGGAGGACACCAATGTTCGTGAGGACACCAAAAAAGCAAAATAGTACCCCACCTTGTCTGTACAATCCAAGCTTGAAGAAAACAAAAAAAAAGGCCAAAAAAAAAAAAAAGCCGCGTCCCCGCGTCAATTCTGGAACTTTGGTCTGACCAGAGACCGAAATTTTTTTTGGCCTTATATTTAAATTTTTGACACAGATTTTTAGAGTCTTGGCGATGTAAATTTTTAATATCTGGTTTTCCCCTTCCTGTACAGAACTTCATAAGCATTGGATAATCATGCAGTGCTATGCAAGAACTTGTGAGTACAAAATTCACAAGCTTGCTTGGGTGCGACATGAACCCACGACCTGCTGTTTAAAAATTGCCAGCACCTTAGCCCCTCGACCACCAAGCTTGATGGGGGGCATGCTGACCACATGAATCTGATACTGTAATCGGTTATTTTTAATGAACCTGTTAAGGCCTTGATTTTATATGCCATCTAAGCCTGGTAAGCTCAGTGCTGGTTAAACCAGGGTCATGCCCATACACAATTTATGGCAGTAAAACTGGGATGCTAGCACTTTGTAGAGTGAGAGTCAGCATTTTAAACCTTCCTGCATTCTCATCTTACAAACACTAAATTTCAATGTTATTGTCGCTCTTAGTTTAGAAAAAAGGCTATTATATTTAGCAAAGACCAATTTCAAGGTACCACTCCATGATTCAATCCTTTTTTAGCACATTTATGGAAAACAGCTTGTCTGTGTAATGTGCACACCATGAAAATATCAGGACTGCTGGTTATTAGCAGACAGCCGTATTACTCTCTTCTGCATGTTTGAATGTGGCAATCTCACTTCATTTAAAAATGTTCACCATTATCTCTCCTGTCTCTGTTCAGAAAGCCGTTTTAGAACTCAAGGCACTGGAGGAAGACCACGGCAAGCTGAAGGAGAAGTTTGAGGCGTCCAAGGCACGCAACAAGGTCCTGGCTAACGAAGTCAAGTCAGTCAAGCAGCAGCTCAACACGCTGCTAGACAAAGGAAAACACGACAATGAACTGATTGAAGCCCTGCTGGTTAGTATTGAAATTCGGCTCTCGGATGAAGGACATTTTGGTGATTTGTGATCTGAAAATGGACAAAAGACATTGAATTATTAAAGGCTTAATGCCATAACATGTGTTCATTATACATGTTTTCTTGGCATTCAGCTGAAGTCCTGTATCAGCTATTGTAGCAAGTGATTGGGAAGTTAAGTTTTTTTTAAAGTGATTGCATGTTAGTTTAGCAACCAATTTTTTAGCTTTACAGCAACTTAACTCAGCTCTTTTTGCAAATGATTTCAAGTAAGTAGTATGAAAACAGATTTCAACTGTGTTGGAAAGTTCTGTTTCCTTTATCATCATTTAGATAATTTCGAAAGCAGAAAATCCCCATGGCACCCAATTTTCCAAAATTTTAATTTTGTTATGACCTTTTTCAGAAGATAGGGACTCTGTCTAATAACTTTAATAAAAATTTGATAAAGTTCAAGTGAAAGTTGACTAGTTTTTTGGAGTGCCTTTGTCAAAGCTCATTTGAATAGCTTGTGAGTTGAATTTGGACTCGAGGACTTGTGATGGACTTGCAGAGATTTTGCGATGGACTTGACTACAGCCGTGGTTACAACTATCCTCAGCCAAGTCGTTTGGTCAAGACCCCTTTAAAATGTCAGATCTTTATCTCTGGTTGGGGACTTTCTGTTCAGAGACGAAGCAGCATCAATAAAGCTTATTTACAGTTTTGGATTTATTCTTTTGATTTTCTCTTTTGTGCCACCAGAGCCAGCAGAGCCAACTGCAGAAGCACCTGGAGCAGAGCAGCAAGCAGCATCAGGAAGCTCAGAAGATGAAGGCCCAGGCCAGCCAAGAGATGCAGCTGAGGAGCCAGCAAGACGCTAACACGGTGGAGCAATTACGACTCATCCTTAAGGAGAAGGAAGCCAAGGTTCGACAGCTGGAGGAGACAGTTCAGGAAATGAGCACATTGGTAAGAGTTTTAAAGAAACATTTTCTGTATTTCTTTTCCCCACATGTTTCATTGTACCCCTTCCACTTTCCACTTTTCATTTTAAACTTTCCACTTTTTGATGTTCAACATTCCACTGTACAATTTCCTTCTTCCGCTTTCCACTTCTAACTTTGCATTTTCTGTTTTCCTTTTTCACTTTCCACTTTTCACTTTCAACTTTGCACTTTCTACTTTCTATTTTTTCACGTTCTACTTTCCCTTTTCCACATCCCGTTTTCCACCTTCTACTTTCAATTTTCAACATTCCACTTCCACATTCTACTTTCAATTTTCCACATTCCACTTTCCACGTTAGACTTTCCGTTTTCCACATTCCACTTTCTACTTTCCATTATCCACATTCCACTTTCAACTTCCCTCTTCCCATTTTCTTTGTTCCCTTTTCCACTTTTCACTTTTCATGTGATTTTTATAAATGGATTTTTAAAATACATTTTTTCTATGCTGATTAAACAATTATTACAAATCATTTTTTTCCCTTCTGGACATCAAATGACAATAATTCTCTAAGTTTGCTTTTGTCTGCTTTTCAATATGTATATTTCTTGAACTGTTTTTTTTTATCAGCATGAACAGCAGCAGCAGAGGATCCAGCTGAACGGTTACACAGACACACCCCCTGACAGACCCCAGAGCAGACCCCTGACCGTCATATCAGTGGACAGACCAGCCACGTCGGACAGGCACAGCGGCTTGTCGTTTGGTTCCCCAGCTCCTCCTCAATCAAGGTAACCATGAACAGATCAGGCGCACCATCTATCATCTGTCATTGCATATGGGCAATTCCACGGTTACTCACGTTACATTTTTGATGTACTTTTGAGTTTCCTTGGGCTTTAATTACCTTACTGAAACTTACCTAACTTACCTTACATAACTGTTATCCCCATGGTAGATAGAGTAGACCTAGACCTACCTAAGCACCAAAGATGACATCCAGAAAAATGTGTTATGTATGATAAACAAGACGCACAAAATCGGTTACTCACGTTACGAAAATGTAACGTGAGTAACCGTGGAATTGCCCATATAACAGTGGCTCCCATAGGAAAGCGCTCGTGTAAACAAACCGTGACGCCATGATGATTCAGGTCTATTTTAGGATAACAGTACTGTCATTTCACTTTGCGTGTGCTCCGTGCTATCAGACTACAATTCTGGCAAATTTCTGTCATTGTAGTTGGTGAATGCAGCAAACAGAGGTCGTTGACATTTGTGCCAATTTTCATGGATATACGTACCACAGAATTTCGCACATTTGATCACCAGTCAGCACTTAAAGCGCTACTCAGAAAAGATGGGGTAACAAGCCAAAAATCTTTGCTAACCCACTCAAAATGCCAAGGCTTAGCACAAAATTGTCTGCGATATTCAGCAAAGATGTTTCTCATGTGGTAAGCAGAGCCTTGAAATTGGACAAGACCAATGCCAAGACAAAAGCAACACGTCAAAAAGAACAAAGGCTGGCTCGGCACAAGCCTGAATTGTGATGTCGCGGCAAGTTTTTGCACTGCAAGTTTGCAAACGTTTAACACATTACAACTCTGGTGAATTTTGCAGGGAATGCTTTATGACATCAAATCCGGTTCGCGTTCACTTCCGCTAGAGGTATGAACTGGCCAACTAGATTTTGTTTTGGTTAGTTTCCCCCAAACTTTTTGAGGCCGCTCTTTATCTTTTACTCAATTTTCTTGGCTCGACCCCCTCCCGAATCAAACAAATTAAACGTTCCACCAGTTGGCATCCGTAGCAATCTTTTCTTACCATCTCTGTTTAACGTTGTCCCTTATTTTGTGTGTTTCATAGGCAAGGCACAAGACCGCCATCAGGCAGTAGAAGTGCCTCTAAACTGAGTAATGGAGATGGGTCAGGGAGGGTGTCATCCAGGGGTGTGCGGCCATCCAGCACAGGGTGAGTCTGTCCAGGGTGAATGTCCTGTCTAGAACACGGCAGTGTTATAGACCTTTATCATGCTGCCACCATTTCAGTCGTGATTCCTGTATCCAATAACAGTACTGAATGATAATGTTTCTTGTGCAAAAAGGAACCAGACTATTTTTTCCTTCCAGCCTTGCTTCGGGTACGTTGATTTAAATGCGAAAAAATCATGATGGCCTCAACAAGATACTGGTCTATTAGAGTGTACTTCAAAATGTTTCTTGAGGGAGTGTGAAAATGTTGACGACTTAGTTTTTCCCAAGATCCATGCTCTGAACTATGGACTTCTCCGTCAACTTTGTGAAATTGTATGCTTCGTTGGTCTTGACCGCAAACATGTATCTGATTCTGGACCATTTTTGCACTTTGGTTACACTGAAATTACGTCATTGTTCCGACCAAAGTTGAACCGAGACTTGCGATTGGTTCACTGACGTTTCAAGATGGCTGAAGGGTAAACAAGTTTCAGCAGATGACATCACTTTGTTACCACAAAAAGAGTTTAAACAGTGGGTTTGTAAAGTCGGTTGGGTAAGGTTGATACATAACAATTATTACTCTGCCTAGGGAAAAATACTTTAAAAGTAAGTGCCCAACGTTTGCTTGTAAATCGTATAAAATTGAGCAAAACATTCGCCTTCCCATGGTGGTCATGACGTCACGAACAATTTTTTAGTCAGCAGGCACTGGAAACATGTTTCAAGTCATTGCTGTGATGTCAGAAACATGTTCCAGGTCAAGGGTCACCAAAACGCAGCCCTGGTGTGCTCTCGTATGGCGCGAAGTGCGCACGTCACTTATTTTATTCTGAATGTGCACATTAGCACTCAACAACGAGTTTATATGTGATCCTTCCAAACGTATTTATGCTTGTGTTTGTGCATGTAATCAATAAGGGACAGGTGAGTGACTGCAGTAATATATATATTTTCTTTTTCAAAATTCTGACTTTTCCACTTCCCCGTTTGTTCTTGCCCTCTCCCGTCCACCCCCAGGAGCATGACCTCAGCTTCAGGGGAAGGGTCAGAGGAATGGAGGAGGCAGCTACAGCAATACAAATCACTGTGTCAGGTGGCCGAAGTGGAGAGAGATAAACTCATGGAGCTGGTGCAGATACTGCAGAACAGGTCAGCGTTTGACTCATGTCAAGACCTGACTACATTCAATGTATTACAGTATCTAATATTTGATAGGTTAAATTCTCTGCCTCTGAGTGTCTCTTCCTCGACGTCTGATTGGCCAAGCTTAAGCCAACCGCACACCTTTCTGATTTTACCGGTTCACCGGATCACCGGTATGGTTTTTATTCACAATTGCGGAGACCGCAACGTAAAACAGCACACACGCCTGATTCTGTTCTATAATCGTTCATGTGGTGATCTGTCACATGATGACCAGTCACGTAATGACAAAATGACAGCCGTCAATTTTGAATCATGTTACTTCCTTTGTGAATCTGATTGGTTAACATAAACATTGCGATCAGCGAAATCCGGACGTGAAAAAAACATGCTTGATTTCATCTGGTTGCCCAGTGTATGGTCAGATCGGTCCGATTTTATAGCGCACACCTCTCCGAATCTGGCCTAATGATCCGGTGAAACGGTAAAATCGGAAGGTTTGCGGCGAGCTTTACTTTTAGATGAGCCCAGATGGGCAAAGGTGTGTACAAAAAAATATCTAAATCAAGTTGACCCACATAAGAGTTTTTGGAATTAAGGCAAGGACTTTCGTTCAGACACTAGGTGGTCTCTGACCTCCATAAAGAAATGTTTGATTTTGTAATATATGAGTCAATTCCAATGAGAACCAATTAACTCTTTCAGTGCCCGTGACATTTCAAAAGTTTAACCCTAAAGTGCCCAACTTTGAGTGTTTTTTTTAATTGTTCAAAATTCTGTAAAAAAAAAAAAGGAAATAAGCTTTACTCACTAAATTTGTTGTTGTTGCTCTCTGGTATATCCTTGATACATTGGAAAGTCAATAGTAGTCACGTATATAGTGATACACCGTGAAACACTATCCTGCACTCAGGGGAATTCCGCACTTTTTGCAGAAAATGGGCTATCAGTGCTGCGCACTCTCGCAAGAACACGAATGAAACAAATAAATACAGGTCGTACCTGAATGAAAATGATATTATTAGAAAGAGCGAGAGCGCCCCCTTGTGATAACATGCTTACTCTACCTTGTACATGTACGAGGTTTGGCGATATTAAGTACGAACATTACCTCGTACATGTACGAGATTGGCAATTTCAAACTAACAAATATACCTCGTACATGTACGACTTTGGCACTGAAAGAGTTAAAAAAAAAAAAAAAAGTTGGAAACACTATTTATTTGTAATAGATTTCAGCAAGTTTTTTGTATCCCTAGCAACTTTTGAGCCTTGATATGTGTATTTTGTACCGCTCTAAAACAGAAATGTAGGAACTTGAGTTATTATGATGTTTTGTTTGACTCGCCCACTTTCATGAAGCAAATGGCTAATTTTTGACACTTATTTCATTTGTTTGGACACTTTGCACTGAAGAATCTACACACACACACAAATTTGTTTTTCAGACAGACTGATTGCAGCATGGAATCTGTTCTTTGAAAAAAAAATTCACCCCCCCCCCCCCCCCCGCCATACCATCCTATACATGAAGCCATTCTGTCATTTGAACACAGGGCCGATGACGCTAACATCAAGACCACGGAGGCCCAGGCCAGCTTACAGGAGCTCAAGCAGCGCAACGTGTGGCTGGAGAAACAACTAGGCAAGGTCAAAGTGGAGAGTGGCAGCAACAGCGGCAAAGGGACCAAGAAGTCGTCAGCGTCTGCGACAAAGGCAGCGAGTTCAGGGAGTTACATCACCGATGGCGATCTGGTGAAGGGGGAGTTGGCCCTTAGTCAGCAGACACTGGACGAGCTACAAACGAGGTACTCTAAGACTTTTATAAACTGAGTAATTTGATCATTCTTTGGGCATTTCATAGTGTTGGTCCTACATTCTGGACAATTCAACGGTATGTGGGGTGCTGTGGTCCAATGGTTACGGTGTTCGACTCGTGTGCCGTGGTACATGGGTTCGAATCCTGACGGGGAACATGGTGCTTGTGCTCTTAAGCAAGGCACTTTACCATTATTGCTTTTAATTCTGATAAAGCGTATCAGTTTAATTGCTACGGTGATTTAAAAAAGAAATTATTCAACCAACTTTTCTGTAGGAGAAAATTGGCTCAATATGCCTTGGGGTGGGACGAACTCAGACAAATCGATTATTTTTTTGTACCCATAAATTCATTTTTTTTTCAGTAGCAGGCAGCCGCCAAGCTTCAAAATACCTACATGTTTCATTTGTGGCATTTGGACAATTTTGTAATTTTGGCTTTTGGGGTTTTATAATTCTGTGGAATTGCTCCTTCTTTGAAAGGCCAGTGGCAATTGGCCTTTAAGCTTGTATTTTTTGTCCATAACATGCAGAAAACTCTTGAGTGCTATCAAAAGTTTTCCTTTTTTGAACGAATGTTTTGGCCTTGTAAAGTTGTGCTTTGAACAAAGGCAACGTTTCTCTCTAAATGTACAAATTGTGAAAAGCAGGATACATAAAAAGCTGCTGCAAATTTCTTACAAACTGGACTGACCTGTTAACACAGATTGTGTATACATAGAGGGCCTGACGTTTTCATCCAGAATCTTTCCCAAAAACAGAAAGATTTGAGAAACTTGTACACTTTGTGTAAACAAGTTGAAGTTTGATATTGGTGCTGTTAGCTGAAATGTAACGTGTCTGGTTTCTGCCATGGATGATTCCAGAATGCGATTGGTTCGAACAACAAGCCAATAGGAAGACACATACTAGTGTCAGTGACGGTAAACATCTACCATTAACTGTGATTGGTCAACTCAAGCTGCCAGTCGGGTAACATGCGGGAATGGCCCCTCCCTGCTTGTCAATCAAACAGTTGGCATTGACCAATGAGATTGTGAGTTTTGGTCAGGTGATTACAGTAGCTCGAACAAACGCGGTCACACGCTATGGAGAAACTTACAGAAACCAAAGGTGGGCGGGGCCTATTGCTTGAGGCAGGAATGGTCCATTGTGTGCCATGGGACAAAGCCACGCTGCATTTTGCTTCAATTGCTTGGTTGTATTCATTCTGTAGCTCGAACAAACTCGGTCACACGCTATGGAGGCACTTACAGAAACCAAAGGTGGGCGGGGCCTATTGCTCGAGGCGGGAATGGTCCATTGTGTGCCATGGGACAAAGCCATTCATTCTGGGGTACGTGCAGCACTGCACGTACTTCAGAGAACATGGCAGTGATCGTTCATTTCGTGAAAAAAAAAAAATAGAACCTCAGTCATTTGGGTCATTTGATAAACTGATCATTTATTTGTAAACAGAGAAAGTACAGCAACGGACATGTTTTGTGTTGGTTTTTTTTGTCCAGACTGAAGAGATTCATACGAAAACTTATTAGAATTCTTTAAATAGAAAATTGTTCAGGATGTTGTTATTGTAGACCATTGTGTTTCCACTTGGATGTATTTTGCAATATCCAGAAAGACTGTCACATAAATATTTGTTTAAGGCGTCAAAATATTGAGGACAAAAGATGTTCAAGCACTGAAATATTTGGCAATCATGTTTCTTTTCAAAACACATGTGTGTGTATTTAATAAATTCCCTGTATTTCTGGGAAAGGTCCCTTCCTGTTGACATACTGTGGAAAAAAAAACAAGTTGTTTAAGGGCATGGTACTTACGGTGTGTGAAAAGCTCAGCATTACGTGAAACTCCCATTTGCCAAAACCCCTGAACTGTACCTACCGATTTCACTGTGACTCTTATCAGCTGTTATCAGCAAAGTAATTATAAGATAAACACTTACCCTGGCACCCACTTCCCCAGGGCCAGTGACCACAAGCTGTGGTAATTGCCCTATCAATTACGGCATGCACATCTGGTAGCGGGGACTACTTGCAGTGTGTGTGCCTTGAAGAGCATGGCTGAAGTCGGACTGTTTCTTATTTGATATCTCGAGATATATTTGATCGATTTTTATGATTCAAAGTTGCTCACATAATAACTTTTGACACTTTTCCAAATACTTTACATTATAAACAAGAACCTAGTAGACTTTGGTAGATATTTTTTGTCAGTAAGCTCACAGGCAGAGGCACCATACACCACCTGTTCACGGCTCGTTAACTCTTGATCAGATAAGAGAGATCGCGTTGAAAGCTGCTTAATCTGAAATCGGTAGGTACGACCCGAGTTTTTATGACAAACTCGGGTCTAGCCAAATGGGAGATTTACGTAATGGTACTTTCGTTGTTTATGTTTCACACCTTTTTTGCGGAGGATTCTTATAAAATCTAAACAAAACTTATTGTTAGTGATTACTCAGAATCAAGATTGCTTTAGTCTGTTTATCTGGTGGATTCTGGCAAAATAATTTTTTTTATCTAGACTAAGTTTATCCCCCTATTAGAAAAACACCTGTTCACGCTAGTCTCTTATCTTATGCCTGCCTGGTCGTAATTCCTAAACAATGAAAACAAGAAATAGTGTGTGATGACTGAATTGGCTGGCTTGGTTGGGTTGCTCAGCTGAAAAACACATTTTGGTTATCTGTGATTATATGGATGAAGAAATTATATAACATACACGCAGTTACACAAATTAGCACAAAAATTCTCATCTTTTCTATTTTGTCACTGAATACAGCAAACAGACTATATGAAGTAATACCCCCTCCCAACCGCCACCCCCCCCCCCCAAAAAAAAAGGGTGGTGATGGGGGCAATCTTTCCTTTCCTCTGTGGCGTAGGTTCTTAGACATTTAGACATTATTCATCTATCTGTAAAAAGCAAAGTTTGAACAAGCTAATGAAGTTTTTGAAGGAGTATAATTGTTGAAATAATAGGAGATTTTTTTTCCAAATGTTTACCTCTTAAACTCGGGAGAGATTTTATAAATATTGTCCATATCTTGGCATTGCTCACATTTAAAAACATTTGTACTCTTCTCGGAAATACAGGGCGAGTAAAAAAAGACACACAAATGTCGGGACCGTAGTTTTAGTGAAGTTCTGCATGTAGCACTTTCAAAATCTAGGACATGAAAGCCCAATTGATAAGCTTTCTTTTAGTACAAGAATCATTCACATCACTTGTGTAATTTTGAAGTTACAGCATTTTAAACACAACCACCATTTTAAAGTTCTGTCCTTGGATAGCAAAAAAGGTAAGTGTTCTTTCAGCAAAACGAAAACACATCACATAGGAATGTGTGTGAGATGTTTTCGTGTTGCTGAAAGAACACCTTATTAATTAACCCTTCCAGACCCTTCAAAAATCTTCTAGGCAGTCCTAAAGAACTTTGTAAAATTGATAGGTAGCCACGCCACGGTTGCTTTACAGTGTCCATGGTGCTGGATGTCCCTCGGAAGTTCAGTTGAAAAAAAGAAAGTGCTTTGGCTACTTCCGCAGTGGAGAACAAACTGTCAACTTTTCTTCATGATTTTTTTGAACAGGTTAGCCATCAAGATTGATGAAAACGATGCCTTGAAGTCGGCTGTCAAAAGCACCCTAAAGGTAAAAGAAGAAGACCTGAAGCTGTATCACGATATGATGAGACAAACCAAGGAGGTTTTCCTGCAGGGACTGCGGCAGTTTAGACAGAACGGAGGGAACAATAGCTAGGAGGACTGGAACTAGGAGCTTAGCAGGAGAGTCATGGAGGGGTAGCTTGACATGATGCGACAAATCATGGAGCTTTTCCTGCAGGGACTGCGGCAGTTTAGACAGAACGGAGGGAACAACAGCTAGGAGGACTGGAACTAGGAGCTGAGCAGGAGGGTCATGGAGGGGTAGCTTGACATGATGCGACAAAGCAAGGAGATTTCCTTCCAGGAACTGCGGCAGTTTAGACTGAACAGAGGGAACAACAGCTACGAAGTGTGGATCTATAGGAGCGTAGCAGAGTGGTCTTGGATGGGTAGCTTGACATGATGCGAACAAACCAAGGAGATTTCCAGCAGGGAATGCAGCAGTTCAAGCAAAACAGAGCCAGGATGACAATATTATGAACTCTGAACTCTTGGAATACCAAATCGATTTAGAGAAAAATAAAGCCAACTTTATAATGTCCAAAACCATCTCCAGCAGGTGTCAGTGTGAGTCGATATATTAGGCGCGGGCGGGATTACGTCAGCCGGTGAAAATATCTATTCATTTGCACACCAGTTTTCATCGGTTGCTATGTCACACCAATCAGTACTCCAGACCCATTGAGTTGCAAGAAAATGGGTCAGGGAGCTAGATAAGCCAATACATTCATTCCTGAATGTCCACGCCCACATACATATGTGATGCGATCAAGCTAAATGAGTCGTTTGTCGACCCCGGTCAAAGTTTGGTTTATTACAGAGTTGAAAAGAGCACAATCTCAGCATTACTGCTGTGAAAACCGCATGCTGATACCATCTTTAGTTTAAAAATTATGGAAGTCGGAACACCAAGAAATGTGATGAAGTGACGTGATGAAGTGGCCCTATTTTGGCCTGTATCTCCAAATGAAAATTCCTGACAAACGACTCGTGTAGCTTGATTGCATCACATATGCTCACTGTGTGAAAAGATTTAAGGGTTGTAGATAGAGGAAGATCTTGAATCTGTAGAATGACAAAAATACAAACCAAAGACATTTCTCCCCCCCCCCTTTTTTTTTTTTTTTTAAACTTTTTATGGTAATAGCGTCAGTTTTTGTGATTTGTGTACTACAGTGACTAGGCATAGCCATAGACGACCATACTCGGATCAGACACACGCCTCAGAAATCGTCTGGTGTGCGACTTGAATCTAGAACCTCCTGATCAGACAGTCCACCAAATACGGTGCCTCATCAAACGTGGGGCACTCAGAAGCTATTAGACAGCAAAAAATGTCACAATACTAGCAACATTAACAAGGCTGCTAACCCCATAAACAGCCACTGGGAGTCACTCAGAGAAAATGAGACACTTTTTATTAGATATAAAAAAAATAACATTATTTACACTTGCATGAAAGAAATAGTAAAGACTGATAAAGCCAATTGGGGCCATTCCCTATCAGCAAACATCAGGAATGTTGATTCTTACTGCACTTTCCTTTGTCTTTGCACTTTTCAGTAATTCAACATCTAATGGGGGTTCTGATTGTTTTTGGTCAGTTGTTTGGAGACAGTTGTGTCTGGCTTGAGGAAAATAGGCCACGGTGTCAAAAAAGTGAAGGCCTACTTAAGGCCCCCCCCCCCCCCCAAAAAAAGTTGGTCTCTGGTCAGACCGAAGTTCCGGAATTGATGCGCCGACGCGTTTTTTTTCTTTCTTTTTTGTGGCTTTTTTTTTTTCAAGCTTGTATTATACAGACAAGGTGGGTACTATTTTGCTTTTTTGGGTCCTCATTGTACATTGGTGTCCTCCATAATTTGCCTTGGTGCCCTTTATCATTTGCCTTGGTGCAATTTCCCCATTCCTTGGTGCTCCTTGGTACAAACATTTGAGGAGGCGCGGCAATAGAGGGCGCTGTTGTAGCTTCCGTGTTAATTTGAAAAAGAAGGTTGACGCACATGATTAAAATCGACGCACTCGCTGACCAGAGACCGAGTATTTTTTTTTTTGGCCTAACGACAGTTCCCTTTTTTTTAATTACAGTGTTTTAACCTTGATGCAGTCCATGCACAGGGTTGGGATGGGGTTGAGGGACAATTGTGATTTTTTGTTTTGTAGTGAGTCAGGTATACCATATATTGTCAAACAATCTAACTTTGCAGTCTGAGAGTACTGTGGCCCATTGACACACAAAAATGCCAGAAGAATGCAATATTCAGAAGGACTTGGTTACCTTCTGTAAAAGAACTATGCAAGACTGCTCTATATATATTTTCACAGTCACTGGACTTTTTCTCCACTCGTAGACTCAAGTCATATTTTTTGGTCGGGTCCAACTTCAAGTCAACTGTCCATCCACATGTAGTGTGTATGGCCAGATCAAATTTGACTCCTTTGCTTAATCTGTAGAGTTCAGGTAACCTTTCCACTCTAGTCATTTTTTTTTGGGGGGGGGGGGGGAGGGAAAAAAGAACTGAATTGATTCAGAGTGCCATTTGTTGCCGTGCCACTCATGCAAAAAAAAAAACACCCTTTTGCCACACTGTTATGACAAGCGTGTTAAATCCACCAGTCTTTCTTCCCAGTGAAATGCAGTACATGTACTTCTGTTGTCAATTTGGAAACCCCCTTCTTTGTTGGTTGACATGATGTATTACCCTTCCGGAGGCGCCACACTGTTTATGCCGTGTTTTTTTCTGTAGTGAGATCCCATTATATTCCAGATATTATTTCCAATTGGTTCGTTGGAACTTCAATTTCAGATCAGGTTATTTGCTAGTTGGCCTTTCCCGAAGCTCGTACAAAGAAGTGGGATTAAGTCGAACTGATGTACGAGCCTTGATCCCAAATACAAACAAACAAAACACAAAAGTCAGGAGTAATTCTAGTTTTCACAAGCGTTTCGATGCCGAAATCATTTGCAGGTGGTTCGTTGGAACTTCAATCTGCAGTTATTTGCTAGTTGGCCTTTCCTGAGAAGCTCTTACAAAGAAGTGGGATTAAGTTGTACCGGATGTACAAGCCTTAATACCAAATACAAACAAACAAAACACAAAACTCAGAAGTAATTTTATTTTCCAAAAACTGTTGTAAAGGCGAATTTGGCTTTCAGTGGAGAAAAGAGAATCTATTTTGGGCTTGACTGGTTATTGGAAAGGGGAATAAAGTGTTGTAGTCGAGACTTTTTCTGAGACCGGACACAAGTGCTTAATATAATGGAATGTCAGATTTGAGTCAAGTCTAAAGTAAATGAGGAAATACTCTCAGTGCATTGACTTTAAATGTACTCAACAGTTGGATTGTTTGAATGTTACCGTTGTATTGAAAATAAGCATTTTATGGGAAAATTTATCTTGAAAAGGTATTGGACAGATCTTGATTCTCAATAAAAGCAAACCTGATCTTGAAAGTTGATCTTTAAAAGTATACATCATATTTTTTTCATCAAAAAATAATGACACTGTTTTGCATAGTTGTTTGCATTATTTTGTCTCCGTAAATTTGAGTAAATGGAATAAGCCAAATGGTACCTCAAGTGAGATTTGTTAAGTATGACGAGGTGCCATGTTTTGCATGGAGAATCTTCAAGAAGGTAATTGTAGACATTGTCACCAATCCATCGACATTCCTCTGGCTTTAGACTTTGTTAAAAGTTCTGTCATATTACAGGTCAGAGTACTGTAAAGAGAACTTTTTCTCTTTTACTTCCCCCCCCCCAATTTTACTTTTACAATAAGATACAGAAGATTTGGTGACTGTGCTGCAATAACGGCCTCGAGTTAGGACATTTTGGAGTTAATACCACAATTCGATGAAGTTGTGGAAAGCATTTTTTCCAAAAAAAAGTTTTGATGAAAATGGAAAATATTATTGCATCTCCAGACATTGTGAATATTCAATATATGACGAGAAATACAACACGGTATTGTTCTGATTAACAAAATCCTTATTTTCTAACAAGATTTTCTTGTTTTGGTGATGATTTATAAAACATGGCTTAAAGAAGGCTATTTTGTTTTCATTTACATCTGTAAGGCGGAGTCTTTAATCACAAAAATATCAACCCCTGAACCAGTTCATTAATTAATTTATTGTTCTTGTGTTAATCAATAAAATATCTATGTACTTTTTTCTAGAAATATTTTCTGGAATTTTTTTCCGTCCATATCTTGTAACCAGAAGCAATGTGTTTTTGCTTATTTTTTTTTGTACAGTTAGCACATATTTAAGATTTAAATGTAAATTGTATGTCTTATAAGGAACAGCGTCCTGCCACCCAGATTCATTTTGTAAAGTTTTTCCTTTTAAAAAATATTCTTGTTTATATGGTGTACATAAGTCTCTTAATTGTCAAAAATTATTTTACATATGACTTGGAATAACATCCGTCCGTTAACCGATAAAATAAATCTTATAAATTGTTGCATTGTGCTCTGAAGGGAAAATATATACATGTATAAAATTATTCAATTATTGAAATTAGTGTGCCTAACAACTTCCACCTTACATTGTAACATTAATCTGTTGAATAATGTGTATGATTTTTTTTGTGAAACCTCTGCAAAGTTGGTATATGCAGAATAATTAAAAGGTTAGTGCCTACATTGAATAAAATTGTTACAAGTTGACTAATCACATTTAGTGTTTGGATGTTTGTGAGTTGTCTATACCATTTGTAGAGCTGAGCTAGTCATTTTAACTTGGGTATTTTTACAAATACAACATGGTCGCGAAAGGATAGCGAAATTTCTCATGTTGGAAACCCTTCCGATTCTAAATGGAAGGAATTAGTGCAAAATCAGCTGAGACATTTACTCTCCTCAAAAGTTTAATAAAAATTTGATCAGTTCCAACCTTCGCAAAAAGCTTATTATCTGGACATCCGGTCTATTGAACTATGCAAATTTAAATTAACAAGCTAAGGCCAAAAAAAAAAGTTTCCGTTTTCTGGTATGGAGCTTGCCAAAAAAAATGTGGTGCGGCGACGCGGCTTTTTTTTTTTTTTACCTGATTTTTTTGCTTCAAATGTCGGGCTGATGACTGCAAATGGTGCCCGACTAAACTTAGTGCAAATATATGGGAGTCCAGAGAGGCCACATAAAGCTTATTCTCGACCATAACCCAATCTAAAAACACGTTAAAATTGTGCAGCAGCAGGATTCCAGTCAAACCAATGAGTTTGGCGGTTTTGAGACATCATCTTTCATTGAAAAAAAACCTTTTTCATTTTGCCGACGCGCATGGCTACGGCGACGCGCGCGCATACCAGAAACCGGAGACTTTTTTTTTTTGGCCTAATAATTGTTTTTATGCATTTGCTGGTATCGTCTGTAATTGTTTGTATGTCCGACCTTCATCTTCAATATTTTTAAACATCTGTGGATTCAGACTGAATTATTACCGTTGCATATGGTGCGTATTTGAAAGTGAAACTTGAAAGGCTTAATTGTGAGTAAAAGTTATGGAAATTCATGAAAATCATATAGTATGGATACATTTTGGGGGATGTGTTAGCCCTAATTAAAGGGAATATAAAACATTTGCTTTTGCTGTGATTTTCAGAAAAGGGTGGATTTGGGGGTTATTATTTCATAGCAATTATTGTCACACTGACTTGTTTGAAGTTTTGTGTTCGTAGAGGCTGGAAAAACCAAGAAAAGCAGTCATGTGATTGTAGTCTGGATCCCTGACCTCACTTAAGATGAAACGAAGCAATGTAATTTGAGGTCAGGGAACCAGTATAGCTGGCTTGTACCCATTCATTGGTGTGTAATCGATTGCAAACAAAATGCAGACTAACCAAATACAGTCGCTAAATTGGGGACAGTGTTTGGAAAAAAGCCTCTTTTTTTTTCAACGCTGGTCAGCCGACCAGCGTTGGAAATTGATACAAAAATACCACTTCTCTTGACAATGTCAGCACACCAGGTGCCATGATTTTACAGGATACTTTAGACTGTCATTCACTAACAGTCCAGTAAGGTATTTCATTTATTTCATGGTTTTGTTTTTTGATGTTTGCAAATGTTGTATATTCCCTTTAATTCCTATTGCTTTGGGGAGGGGGAGGGGTTGTACTTTTTATAAACATTTAAAGAATTATTTCCAAAACGCGACATATGCCATTTTATTTCCCTTTTAGAATCCTGCTCTCTCCTGGCTGCCCAAAAGCAATTTCGACAGCTGTTATATTAAGAATACAATAAAGCAACAACAACAAAAAACCCCAAAAACCGAAGCTGTTAGGCCTATATAACTAAACTATGCACAATTTTCACCTTTTTTCAATGTCACATTTTGGAAGTACTTTTCATTTAGACAGAAATCTCCTATCGATCAACACAATTCTACAAACTTGGCAAAAAAAAATCCGGAGATTATCTTCTATAACAACACAATATACCACTTCAGTGTTGAATTTAATGCTTATTATTATCCACAACTCCTAGTCAACAACTCTGACCTTAACTGTGACTTTTACGCGTTGTCACGTCGCCATTACTGATTTATTTCTTTGTGTACCCAATGAGTGATAAGAATCGCGTCACAAAGTCAATGAAAAATCTACCAGTACATATTGGGTTTTTTCAATGACTGACAGTCAAATAATAAGACCCTAGTTTGGTTTTCAAATTATACAAAGGGT